ACTAAACGTTAAAGAAATGTGACCCACGTTGATTTTTAAAGTGCCTTGGACACATGAATTCTTCTAGGAAAGCTTCGTTGGAATCTCACGCTGACCAGGCTGTCCGGCTGGCTTAAGGCTCTGTACAGCGTCAGACACAAAAACCTTTCCACTGGGTGTGACCAGAGCTAAGACCTTCTCCCGACTTCTGTCCGTTGTCCAAGATTTGAAGCTTTTTCCTTTTATCCTGATTTTTAAAACATTAAGCGGAGTGGGGAAGGTGGAAGAGGGTAAAGGGATAAATGGTGATGGAAGGAGATCGACTTGGGGTGGTGAACACGCAATACGACATTCCGGTGATGTATGACAGAACTGTACACCTGAAACCTGTGTAACCTTATTAACCAGTATCACCCCAATAAACTCAATAAAAAGGAAAAAAACCATTAAGTCAATTTTATTAAGGCATATTTGCATGTAATGAAATGCTACTCTTTAAGGTATGCCGTTTGATGCGATTTTTTCCATCCACTCACCCACCCATCCATCATCTATCCACTTACCCACCCACCTAGCCATCCATCCATCCATTCATCATCAATCCATCATCCATCCATCCATATATCAATTCATTCATTCATTCATTCATTCATCCACTGCTGTGTTGTCACTGACACCATTATTGTGCTGCTCGGTCGAGGCACTGACCACTCCCATCACCTGACAAGTCCTCTTATATTCTTCCCAGTCACATCTTCTAGTCAATCACTCTATTTTAAGAATAAAATTTAAAAACATATATATTTTTTCTGTCCTCATCTATTGTCTACCCCAACACACTTACGACTATTTTCTCATTCATTCTTACTGCTCCAGCTGCCTGGAAATTTGTTGGATTAAAACACTGAGATGCCAATGGCTCTACTGACTAGGAAGAGGAAAGCATTCGTCACGATTTGTACTCCTTCTCAGTGACCTCTAACTCCTCCGCCTCTAAAATCCCCATCCATCCATCCATCCATCCATCCACCTGCCCACCCACCTATCCATCCATCCATCCATCTCTACCTCCACCCATCTATCCATCCACCCATCCATCATCCACCCATCTATCTATCCGTCCATCCTTCATCCATCCATCTATCCATCCATCATCCACCCATCCATCATCTATCCACCTACCCACCCACCTAGCCATCCATCCATCCACCCATCCATCATCTATCCACCCACCTAGCCATCCATCCATCATCCACCATGCCCACTCATAGGTACCTCACCACCCACCTATCCATCCATCCATCCACTCACCCACCCATCTACCCATCCATCCACCTATCCATCAATCCATCCATCCATCATCCATCCACTTATCCACCCACCTATCCATTATCCTTCATCCATCCACCCATCCATCATCTACCCATCTACCCACCCACCTTGCCATCCATTCATCCATCCAGCCATCCACTCACCCATCTACCCATCCATTCAACTATCCATCCATCCATCCATCCATCCACCCACCCATCCATCATCTATCCACTCACCCACCCACCCATCTACCCATCCATACAGTTATCCATCAATCCATCTATCCATCCATCCATCCATCCAATAACTGTTGAATGTCTACTGTGAGCCATGGGCTACCAGGAATCCTGCCTCCACTTGACTTATATTCTAACAAGGAAGACAAACAATTTAAAAATTATAATAAAAAAACAATACGTATCACAATGGGGAAATATGGGGTACAGTGGGAGGTGCAGGAGCAGCAGATGGAATCCTCCTCAAAGGGAGAGGATTAGTGACAGGGCTTGTAGAGCGATGTCAGTAAGCCAGTTAATCACTCTGTTATATTTGAGCACTGCAGGCAGGGCCTGGTGGAAGCTGCTGCTGACTCACAGGGGAGGAGGACTGACATGGGCGTTAATCCGGGCTGGGCTGGGGCAGTGGGCAATGTTCTGGGCAGAGAAAACTGGGCCAGGGTCCCGAGGGAAGAGACCCTGGTGAGCTAGGAACACTGAGAATTACACATCACCGGAACATGAATGTCAGCCAGAGGGGGGCCTGGTGCTGTGAACCAGGGAGCTGTGAGCAGCCCTTAGAGCGACCCTCGGCTCTCATTTGCTGTGCAGATGGTCATCGAATCTCTAATCAGAATCTTGTAAGAAAAAGAAATGCCGAATGTAGACACCACACCTTAATCCCTTACAAATCATTTCTTTCTTTCGCAAACAAAGCTGTGATGCCCAGCTGGCGTGGCTCAGTGGTTGAGCATTGACCCATGAACCAGGAGGTCAGGGTTTGATTCCCGGTCAGGGCACAGGCCGGGCTGTGGGCTCCATCCCCAGTGCGGGGCGTGCAGGAGGCAGCCGGTCCATGATTCTCTCTCATCACTGATGTTTCTTTCTTCCTTCCCCTTTCCCTTTCTCTCTGAAATCAATAAAAAATATAAAAAACAAACCACCAAACCCAAAGCCATGATCAAGGTGACCTTTCACCAGCAGAGGGAAGGGAGCACTGAAGAGGGGGTACGAGGGTCCGATCCCCCCCTGGGGTGACAGATGTGACTGGAGCCTGTCAGGCGGGGTGGCGGCAGAACAAACTCCCCGGCCTCCTGCTTCGGGAGCGGAAGGCCAGAGAACCGGGAAGAAAGGATGTATTTCGCATTTATTATATTCTAAACTGAAGATAAAGTGCTGATGTGTAGCTTCTATGCGGATTGTTGACCTTGCGATGAACGCTGCTCGGTAGGCAGATGCTCCTCAGGCTCCGCAACCTGTGAGGGCGACATGCCGGCCGTGACTCACTGTCCTCACGTGTCCAGGGTGTTAACTCTTTGCTACGGGATATTTGATACAATCGATCTCCTCTGTAGTGAGCTCTGTGCACTAGGCCTGAAATTAAAGCTCTCTGATGACCCTGGCCTCCTGTGGGCGCACTCACCCACACGCTGGGTCTCCCGTGGGCGCACTCACCACGCGCTGGGTCTCCCGTGGGCGCGCTCACCCACACGCTGGTCTCCCATGGGCACACTCACACACGTGCTGCGTCTCCCGTGGGCGCACTCACACATGTGCTGCGTCTCCCGTGGGCGCACTCACACACACGCTGCGTCTCCTGTGGGCGCACTCACCCATGCCCTGGGTCTCCCGTGGGCTCACTCACACACGTGCTGCGTCTCCCGTGGGCTCGCTCACACACACGCTGCGTCTCCCGTGGGCACACTCACCCACGCGCTGGGTCTCCCGTGGGCGCACTCACACACACGCTGCGTCTCCTGTGGGCGCACTCACCCATGCCCTGGGTCTCCCGTGGGCTCACTCACACACGTGCTGCGTCTCCCGTGGGCTCGCTCACACACACGCTGCGTCTCCCGTGGGCACACTCACCCACGCGCTGGGTCTCCCGTGGGCGCACTCACACACACGCTGCGTCTCCTGTGGGCGCACTCACCCATGCCCTGGGTCTCCCGTGGGCTCACTCACACACGTGCTGCGTCTCCCGTGGGCTCGCTCACACACACGCTGCGTCTCCCGTGGGCACACTCACCCACGCGCTGGGTCTCCCGTGGGCGCACTCACACACACGCTGCGTCTCCTGTGGGCGCACTCACCCATGCCCTGGGTCTCCCGTGGGCTCACTCACACATGTGCTGGGCCTCCTGTGGGCTCACTCACACACGCGCTGCGTCTCCCGTGGGCTCACTCACCCACGCGCTGGGTCTCCTGTGGGCTCACTCACCCAAGCACTGGAGACGTCAAGTCCCACACGCCTGCAGCTGCAGGTCAGGCTTTGCTGCCGAGGATTTACAGCTGCACAAGCTTCCACTTCACTCAGTCTCCTACCCTCCACGCTGACGGAGTGTCCGTTTTGGGGGTTCGTCTTTTTCTTGGATGGGTCTCCTCACCATCAGCTCAGAATATATTCTGTGAGGATCTCCTGAGGAACACGCCAGTCCACGGCAGGGTGTGTTCTGCATGATCCCGCCGGTGTGTGCCTGTCAGTTCTGCATGTGCTGAGCCCCTCACAGGCGGGGCTGAGAAACCCCAGAGGCCTGGGCACGCTCCCGACTCCAGGCCTCATGTCCATCAGCCTGGTGACCAGCGACCGTGAGCACCACGGGGGTGGAATGTCAGCGGAGACGGCCCACGTACCTGCCACGGGACAGCTTATGGGACGTTGTCTGGGTGAGGGAGGTGAATGATTTGCATCAGGGTCTGCCCGCTTCACCGCAGTGGGACCAACCGCCTGGACGTCCCTGTAGGAGGGGACCTGCCGGGAGCCAGGGGTCAGGCCACGCCTCGCCTCCTTCCAGGTGATTTATGAAACAGGGTCCCGGGCCCCCAACTGTGCCAGCGCCTCTGGCCACCCCTGGGCTCCGAGCCCTCTAAGGCACCATCAGTGACAGTCCCCCCCCCCCCCCATGGCCACTTAGTGAATCTGCTCAAGCATCAGGCTCAGACGCGACCGAAGTGTGGATTTCCCAGCAAGGTTCAGCCCCCCGCACACGCGGCTCTAAAACACGCACGTGCTGTTGGGACGAGGCTGCCGCCGAGGGGAGAAGCACGCGGTTTTCATGGGAAAAGGATGAACATGAACCTCGCTCGGGATGCCTGTCACTGGCTGGCGTCCAGCAACAGATCCTGGTGAGAGAGTCCCGGCCGAGGCTGCCTGCCATGCGGACAGACTCTCGGACAGAAGCGGCCTCTGTGACGTCCTATCTCCCATGGGCGTCTTTTTCTAACAGAAAAGCCCACTGTTCGAGTGACGGTCACAGCGCTGCCATTGGCGGAGGTGCTGGGAGAGGGTTCCCCTCCTGGTGGCGTCTGCTCCCTCTGAGTGCCCTCCGCTGTCCCCATCACTAGTGGCGTGTCAGGGTGGCAGACCCCGTGAGCCACAGCCACGAGGCAGCAGTTTCTAAACTCAGCCTGACGAGGGACGGTCCTCCCGAGACTGGATGGACTCAGAGGCCCACCGACGGACCGTCAGAAAGAACAGGACAGGAGGTCAGGTCCATGAGAGCACGCGGTGCGGTTTATTGTGGAAAGCAGTCAGCCAGACACTCGGAGGCTGGCCGCCAGCTACGCTCTCCGCCGGGAACCCCGAGGCCCAGCCCCCCGCCGAGCACCATAAACAGGGTTTGGAGAACATTCAGTTAGGTTCTTACATGAACCACCAAACGTGCTCGCTTCCTTAAAGAGAACCAGCCACAGCCCCAGAGCCGCACTGTTCCTCGGCAGCGGGAGGAGTTTAAAATGAAAGACGTTGTCATGGTGCTTTAAGGCCAGAACAGAACACCTGCCTCCCAGACGTACAACTACGAGGAGAGTCAGAGGGAACCGCGTGAGCGAGGGGGAAGGCACTGTGTCCCGCTCACGTCCGGTGCCCACTGCCCAGCCACAGCTCAGAGTCCTACCGCACACGCCCCAGGGGCCACCGCCACCAGCTGGGCTCCCTCTGCCATGTGTCTCCACCAGGTGCACGGCAGGTGTGAACAGATGCCACCGGCTTTATTTACAAGTTCACCTCGATGTTCCGTGAGGCAAACCCCAGCTACCTCACCCAGCCATTCCCAGGAATCATAAACACCGTGTGAAAGAGACAGGCAGACCGACACCAAGCCCAGAGGCCTGCCCCACCAAAGGCCGGCGGGGAGCCTGCTGTTCTCTGACGCGGGAGGGGACCCCACCTTGGCCCTCAGACGGACTGTCAGTGAGCACGGCGACAGGCTGCGCCGCAGGACGCCAAGCCCCGGATCCGGTAGGAGCCGCGAGCCGGGAAGGTGGCAGCTCCCATGCTGACCTCCCGACATGCAGAACGAGGGGGAGCGGCACGGACAGTTAGTTCTGGGGCCGGTAACAGACATGCAGGACCGTCGGGCGGGAGGGAGGTGGGGGCGCCACGTGTCCACACGGCACTGCGGTCCCCCAGCTCCCGCCTCAGACGCTTCGTGGTCGCGGGCACTCACCCCGGAGGGTCTACCCCGAGGGCTGCTGGGGATCAGCCTGCCCTTGGCAGAACCAGAACCACTGGGAAAGGGACGAAATGGACCGCTGCCGGGTTTGCGTGAGACGCCCCCTGAGGTCCGTGTGCGATGACCCAGCTGCGTGACTGGCGGACATCCCGGGGCCAGGAGACCAAGCCCGGTCCTCCGCTGATGAGAGCGGGACTGTGCGCACTGCGGCCCGGCAGCTGCTCCCAGGCCGAGGCCGCCTCGCAGTAATAGGTTCCTCCGGTGTGACCGGTGTGACCGGTGTGACCGGTGTGACCGGACCGCGCGGCCGCCCTCAGCTCAGGTGGAGGGGCGCGTACTCCGGCCGCCTGGTCTGG